TACATTTTATTCTGTTAATTTAAGACATTTAAAAAATTGCCATTCTATGGCTATATAAAATCCAGATTATATTTCATTTTAATGTTAATGTATCACTCACCATTGCAGTTGCTAGTCTTGTCTCCTTGTCAGACTTTGGCTTTTTATGAAGGCGTTCAATGTCCCGAAGAGAAAGTAATTCACCCCTAGGATGAGGGAAAAATAAAATAAGAAATAAGGGTGCAATTCCTTTCCCCGAGGCTTTCATTCGCACACAAGCTGACTGAAAACCTGGTGAAAATGCATTTTACCTGTGCTCCTCATCACTGTCTATTTCAATGTATTTTCTTTTTTGGGCTTTCCCAGGGGCAGCGTCAAGTTCTTTCCTCATTTGGGCCATGCGGATTTTCTGGAAGTCTTCCTGAGTTAAAACTCTACTAGTGCTGATGGCTGCAGCTTTGGCTTTCCGCTCCTCGATAGGCATGCTGTTTAGTTTCTTAGACTTAAGAGTACACAAACAAAGGCTTAAATGGCTACCAGCTCAAGTGAGAGCTCAGCCATTCAAGTGTTAGTCTCCCCACAAGGTCCAGCAAAAATTATATCTTAATAACCATCAGAGTGATGCACTTGTAAGAGGAGATTGTATGACTTACAATTTCTTGCTGCTCTTCATCTGAAGAGTGGTGCACATCAACCCATTCACCATCGGCATCTTCCTCCTCACTGAGACTGGTACTTTCCCATTCATCTGTGTGAAAAAGAGCTTAATGATGTAACTACCACTTTATGTTGAATATTTACAACAACTTGAAATAAATCATGCAATGGAAAAGTAAGGTAGTGAACCTTAAATACATATTCCACTGACAAAAACTTGAGCAATGTTTGTTGTTAAATAAGCCATCTCAACTTAGTTAATTTAAGGAATAAGAACTATACACTGGGGTTGGGGTTGTGGCTCGGTGGTAGAGCAAACGCCTAGCACATTCGAGACCCTGGGCTCAATCTTCAGCACCACATAAAAATAAATAAACTGTCATCACAACTTGGCAGAAAAGGATCATTCCCCAGAGTTAAATATCACAGCCAAAAAATGTAGCCTACATGGAAATCACAAAAACTATGACTGACTTCAGAGTCCATGTTCACGGAGCCAACTGTGCCCATCAAAATGGCACTTGTAATAGAGTTACTTTGGATTAGGTAAAGGGGAATGAAGGGGAGAGGGCAGGAAGGATAGTAGAATGAATTGGGCATTATTACCCTATGTGCATATATGACTATATGACCAATGTGATTCTACATCATACATAATCAGAAGAGCGAGAAGTTATACTCCATTTATGTATGATGTGTCAAAGTGCATTCTACCGCCATGAATAACTAATTAGAACAACATAGATCTCACATTATATAACTGTTTATCTATGAAAAACATGATTTGATGGAAGTTCACTAACCATTCACTAAGCAGATATTGGGGAATTGTGCAGATATTATTATGCTGTGATTGGTTAGTGATTCAATGGTAAACAAAAGAGATTTGGTCCCTGCCCTAATAAAGCTCATGATCTAGTAAAGATGACAGACAATAAAGCACATTAAAAAAAAAAATGGCACTTACACATTTGACTTGGGCAAATAGCAAGTATCTGACTAACTCATCTAAATATATTTATGCATGTATGAGAAACTAGCTGCAGTTATTCAGAGAATTAAATAAAAGATTCTGGGCATAAAATAACCTTGTAGACATTTCAATAAAGTGGCTCCCTGGGATCTGTAAGACAGTGTCCCAACTTTTTGGTCTGGTATATATAAAACCACCCACATAATAATGTTTCCAGTTCTCTTTCAAGTCTCCTATCTTGCCATGTGGTTTTCTCCTTAAAGAATGGTGAAATAAAATGAACCTTCATAGCTTGGAGATATAGCCTAGGGACAGAGCATTTGACATGCATGCATAAGGCCCTAGGTTCCTAAGTGATAAAATGTGATAATACCTTCTCCTCTGTAACTTGAAATCAAAACTATCAGATGTTCTTTTTCCTATATAATTTAAGAAAGGTAAAGTTAAAGGACTGGAAGACTTCTAATTTGTTTTCTTCAGAACAGTGATTTAGATGTAACCAGTTGGGATTTTATAGCTAAAAGTCAATTTGTATATAATTGTTAACTAAACTATAAAGTTGCAGTAAATATATTTACAATGATAAAATGTTAAAAATTCAAAACAAACAACAACAACAACAAAAAAGGTTCTGGGTTCAATTTCCCCAATACTATGAAAGAAAGAAAGAAAAATGAACCTTCATCATTTTCTGTTTTCTCTTCCTTCTCAATTTCCAGAACCTCTGCTCCTGGAATGTAATCTTTAGCATCCAATTCACCATATTCTTGTACTCTTGCTTCAACAGATGCTTCTGTAGGTTTACCCTAAAGGAAAAGAAATTATTTATAATATCTCTAAGATTATGAATTGAGATGGGAGCACTACAGAAAATGGAAATACTCAAATGACAAAATATTCTGTTTATATCTCAGGTCAAAGTAAATACTGAGTCAGAATACTGTCCACTATTTTCTCATTTCTAATCCAAATCAAGAAATTGGCAGCTATTAAAGAATTACTGTTCAAATATTTTAGGTGTCCAAAGTACCATCTCTTTCTTTATATATAAGCATCCTTCTGCCCTTGAAAGAGGTAGTACCTGGCTGGGAAATAGTCTTGTTTAATACTGGCATCATCAAGTTTAATCAGCTTGATATGTTTATAAAAACTAGTCATCATCAAAGAACACAAGCCAACTACAAAATATTTAAGGTAATGGTATTCAATCAATTGTATTCAAACTTTAAATAAAACCATGTACATTACCAGTACTCAAAACTATCACAAATACCTAAATCCAAATTGTAATAAAATT